GCTCCATCTGAGTCATACACGCTGGTAGAACAGAGGCAGGGGTCTGGCAGGAAGTAGGGATCCACTGTGGGAGCCCCATGTGGCAGTGACACCTGGCACCCGTCAGGGCTGTGCAGTGCCCCCAGGCATGCTCGGGGGCAGGGGCTCATGAGGACTCACGCATGCCTGTTCCCAGCCCCACACTCTCCACATGTATGTGGGTAAGCTCCATGCATGCACATGGGCTTTCTGTGCAGTCTCCACATGTGTACAGACTCATGGCACACACACACACACATGCAGTCCACACATACACACTGCTCTCCCAGCCCTGCTGTGTGCATGTGTGCTTGGGGTACATTTCTCAGCATCAGGGTTGAACTGGAGTGTGGAATAAAGCAATTCTGGCACTGGCGTGGCTCGTGAGGGTTAAGGTGCCCTGGTGCCCATTTCCCAGTCTTCCTCGTTTTCATGGGCAGTGGAGGCTTAGGAGAGCGAGAAGGCTTGCTGCATTCGTGGGGCTGAGGTACGGGCTCTGGGCTTCCGCCCTTCCCGTAGTCTCTGGATAGAATGGGGAAACACAGGAGACTGAGACTGGGTATCCCTTCCCCACCAGAGCAAAGAATGGCATCTGGCCTGTTCTGTGCAGGGGCGTTGTGTGTGTGTGTGTGTGTGTGTGTGTGTGTACATATGTACACAGGCAGAGCACTGGTGCAGAGCTGCCGTAGGACTCTCAGTGATGCTCCATCCACCTAAGTTGGCTCCCTTCCCCACACCTGCAGGTGAAGGAAGAGCGGGACCGGCTCAGGCAGACCCAGGCAGAGGCCACGCTCGTGCAGAACTCGCTCAAGCGCCCTCTGGGAACATCAGCCCCCAGTCCCCAGGAAAAGGAGACCTGGGGAGCTGGGCACAAGGAGGCCACCATGGAGCTGCTCCGGGTGAAGGACCGGGCCATTGAACTGGAGCGGAATGTGAGTGCCCTGGGCCTGGTCACACAGAGACGGGGAGCGTCCTGTGGTGGAACTAACCGATGATCAGCTGTCGTTACTATAGAGAGCACAGGATGCCAGAGTCTGTTCAAGCCTCTTTGATTTAACTAGACACTTTGAGTTGACCTGGCGGGTCCCACAGAGGCCTTTCATTTGCTGTCCCTTCACAGGTCTAGCATGAGAGGCGCATTATGTCTTTGCTGTGGCGAATCGGCCCCTCATTGACAGGAGCTGCCTGTGGCTTATTTGCCAGCTTCTATTCTTGTAGCATTGCCTTTTTCAGGGCTGTGTCCCAGAACTGTGTTTCACAGTCCTCCACTGTGTCTGTAAATAAAGCTCTACAGGAACACAGCCCTGCCGTTGGCTTGTGCATTGTCTGGGCAGCCTTTCCACGGCAGTGGCAGCATTTGGTGGTGGAGATAGAGGTGATGTGGCTGGCACACCCGAAAGTATTTATCACGTGGCCCTTTATAGAAAAACTTAACCAATGCATCTCAGTTCTTTTGGTTTTGATAGTTGGTGACTGTAGTCCACAGCAATGATTTTTATTATTTAACAGATGAGAAAACCGAGGCAGAAAATGTGACTCTTCCAGAGTCCTGTGTGAATGAGGGGTAGCCCAGGAATGCGTCCCCTCTCCCACGTCCTGGCCCCTAACCCAGTTGATGGCACAATTGATGGGCTCTTTGTTAGTCCCACGTAGCGTACACCGCCCTCTTCCACCTGCTGTCCCTAGAGTAGGATGTGCTGTAGCCATGGTCAGCAGGAGGTGGGGCCAAGTCACAGAGCAGCATTCTTAGGTGCTCCACAGAGTGCAGAAGAAAGCACAGAAGTGAACAAGGCAGAGTGGTCCTGCCTCCAGTGTGACCTGGCCTCCCCGTCACTGAGTCCCCCACAATATGTGTCCCCTGTGGTGTATGGCCTGTTCCTCAAAAATTCTGTTAATTGTCTTTCAAAAGAGGACAGCTGTTACTTTACCTGGTGGACCCTGGCTCCAGCCTCCATCCATGCTTGAGGGTTTGTCGTAGCCCAGGTACCTGTGGCTACTTGGCGCTCACCCAGCCTTAAAGCTTGACTGACACATGCCTCCCTGTCCCCCAGAATGCAGCGCTGCAGGCCGAGAAGCAGCTGCTGAAGGAACAGCTACGGCACCTGGAGACACAGAACGTGGCCTTCAGCAGTCAGGTCCTGACGCTGCAGAAGCAGAGCGCCTTTCTGCAGGAGCGCACAACCACGCTGCAGACCCAGACGGCCAAGCTGCAGGTGCCGGACAGGATAAAGTCGAGGGAGGGAAGGGTGTGGCTCTTGTTGGTTCGCTCGCTGTCGACAGGGTCTTTGAAGGTGACGGTGACTTGTGAGCCAGGTTCGGTGCTTGAACTGTGGCTGCCTGGGCTCGAGCTTTCATTTCTTTGCTTTCACATTCCTCCTGCCCACGTTTCCCAAGGTGTGCTCCTTGAGAGGTTATTAGGAATGACTTAGAGGTCTGGCAGTCACATTTTAAGTTTGATTAAATAACTGACCAATTTTCCATGCTGCGAACCTGGCAGAACCTTTGTCGAGCCAGTGTGTATTTTCAGCTCCAAGAGGGACGTGGGCCATGAAGCTGCCCCCAGCTATTGGGAGAAGCCCCCAGAACCAGTCCTCAGGCTGCTGAGGGTGCTGGGGGTATTAGTGGTAAAGGGAGTGGGAGAATTAATGATCATTCATACATGTGGTTTTTTTTTTTTTAATTTATTTATTTATTTGTGTGTGTGTGTGTGTGTGTGTGTATGTACGTGTGTGGCCAGCTCAGCCCACCAGGGGCGGGGCTGGCTGGCATGTGGTGCTGGGGGATTGAACCATAGTCCCTGGGCTTTGCTAAGCTTGTTCTAAGTAGGTGCTTTAGACCACTGAGCCATCTCACCAGCCCCATACATGTGGTTTTTGAGGAAACTGAAAATAGGTTACTTTGGAGCAGGAACAATAAACAGGAAACTCTTTGGCAAAGAGGTTGGGATTTGTTCTGTGAAAATAGGATTTTTTTTTTTTTTTGGTCTCCAAAATGTCTTTGTCTGGTTTTAATGTCAGGGTAGTTAGTTCTGGATCTTGTTTAATTCTCAAATCTTGAGTCATGTTGAATGCAGTATTCTGTAAACATCATGTTAGGTTGGTTGATAGCATTGTTCAAATATTCTGTTCTTGTTTCTGACTATTTCTGTTAGAAAATAGGTTTTAAAAATAGCAAGGAAGTTATCCAAGGGGAGGCCCTGGACTTCTGGAGAGGGCTCAGCTGTTGTCTATTTGTGCTACATGGTTTGGGACCCTTCCCAGTGAGGTTCAGGTGGAACCACCCTCCAGGGCTGGCCTGCCCTGCTGTCGCCCCTGATCATTGGTATCTGCCCCATCCCCGGTTCTGCTCTCGTGCAGGTGGAGAATTCCACGCTGAGCTCCCAGAGCGCCGCACTGGCCACGCAGTACACACTGCTGCAGAGCCAGCACACGGCCAAGGAGACGGAGCACGAAGCGCTGCAGAGGCAGCAGGAGCAGCTGGCGGCCGCCTATGAGGCCCTGCTCCAGGACCAGGAGCACCTGAATGCTCTGCACGAGCACCAGTCCTCAGAGTACGAGGCCCTCATCCATCAGCACAGCTGCCTGAAGACGCTGCACCGGAACCTGGAGCTGGAGTACAAGGAGCTCAGAGAGAGGTGGGGCCTCGTGTGCAGGCTGGGGACTGGGGACCCTGGGAGCAGGGCGGGGTGCAGCCAGTGTGCAGTGCAGGGAGTTCCCCTGGGAACAGTTCCCCTAGGCCCAGGCTTTCTCCCAGCCTGCATTCGACCTCCATCACTCTCCCATGTTTCCTCTGGACTGGGCTGCTTCCCATTGTCAGAGCAGTGGGAAGGAAATAAAACGTCATTGTGAGCAATTTAAGTTTGTGCAACCGGGTACAGAGTGCCAGGATGGGAGTGCCCAAGAAAAGCAACAGTGCCGCAGCGTGCTTGGCTCCAGGCAGCTGCAGAGCACAGAAACCCTGTCCTGCTCAGGCATCACTCCTTCCTGTCCTTTCCTGGAGGGAGTCACCCACAGCTCCCAGTGTGCAGGGGTGGCCTGGCCCCAAGGCTGCAGGCCATTTATTCCATAGCAGCATATGGCTAGGTGATTTGCCTTAAAAACCAAGACAAAGGGGCCAGGGAGATAGCTCAGTAGACTAAGTGCTTGCCTGGCAAGCACAAGGGCCTGAGTTCATTCCCCGATTCTGCCAAAAAAAAAAAAAAAAAAGACAAAAACTTTACGGAAAACTCTTGAATGCATAGAAAATAAGCAGAATCGTATTGCGGATCCACAGTTACCCATCTTCGTCATTGAGCCCTGTGATGCCAGTTCTCCCTTTGTCTCTACCCCCTGCTCTCTGTCCTCACAGGTGTGGGGGTGGTAACATTTGCATGCAGTATATTGTGTAGGCCTTGATTTTGCGCTCTTGACCTTCTTGAGCCCTGGGTTGTGTGTCGTCAAGTCAGCCATCATCCGCTGAACTCCTGGTCTAAGCATGTTTCGGGGGATGCCAGTCCCCTGGGTAGGTATGGCAAGATGCAGGAACAGGTAGGACAAAGTGAGTTCCCCAGAGGCTTCTGGACATGTGGTGTGTAGTCAGGTGTGTGAGAGGCACAGGCTCCTTCAAAGAGAGATCACACACCTTGCACACTTGTGACCACCCCGTTCATTGGCAGCTGTTCCTCCCACCATCTTCCCCCCTTTTAAAATTTTTTATGTATATGGTACAGGGTCTCACTACACAGCTTGCACTCACAGTGATCCACCTGTTTCAGCATCCCCAGCGCTGAGATTATAGGCGTTTGCCACCTGGGGCAGGGCTGGCACAGCATGTGATACTGGGAATCGAACCTTGGTCCTCGTGCTTGCCTAAGCAGGCACTTAGACTGCTGAGCTATCTGCATGCCCCCACCCGCTTTTGAGACAAAAATCTCACCATGCAATTCATACTGGCCTTTTTTTTTTTCTTTTTGTGGTACCCGGGATTGATTGAACTCAGGACCCTGCGCTTGCTGGGCAGGTGCTTATTCTACCAAGCTACCTCCCCAGCCCCAGACTGGCCTCAGGCTCACTTTGTAACCCACGCTGGTCTCAGACTTGCTAGGTTCCTCCTGCCTCAGCCTCCCAAGTACTGGGGTTACACCACGCCTGGCTTTTTCTGGTAGTACTGGGGATTGAACTCAGGGCCTTGTGCATGTTAGGCAAACCCTCCACTCTGAGCTACATCCCTAGCCCGCAAGCTTCTGTTCCCTTCAGTCACCGTCCACGGATCATCCAGTACATGTTGGTCCTTTCGGGTAGCAGCAGCTGCTCCATACCAGTGTAAGGAGCATAGATACCCCTAAGTGTCTCTGCGCCAGAAGAGCCGTGTGTGGGCGTTGGCGGTGCTTGTGGCGCTGAGGGCAGTGCTGACGTTGGTTGGTTTTCTCACACATGTGTCCTCCTTTCCTCCTCCTGGAGCTCTCCTCTTTCTGTCCGCCTTGTTTCCCTCAGGGCTGCCGCGGCCTCAGCCCCTGTCTAATGCTGTTCCTCTCACTCAGCGGTGCATCTTCTCCCTCTGGCCACCTTCATCTTCCCCCTCCTGTTCTTAGGTGATGTTTATCAGACATCTGCTATGTGCTGGTCAATCAGGCGGGACAGGTAGCCTTCACACAGCGTGTGAGCCAAGCCTGAGCCTCTTAGGCGCCCATTTTAGTCTTGGTGTCCCCTGAGAGTGCATTATAATAGCATCTTGTGTTCTCAGCGATGTCAGGGGAAGGCTTTGCAGGTAGCGTTGGGACTGGCCCTGGCGGCGGAGTGATGGCATTTCCCTGTGGTTCCTTGCCAGGGGCGGCATCCCCTGTTGCTTCGTGTGTTTTGCTGGTTACACAGATGGTCGCAGGTCTCTGGGTAAAAGGACTCAGAGACAGTGGCCGCACTTTTTCCTCCAGCATTTGAATTGGGCAGGCTCATGCCCTGATTCTTCTATATATTTACTGTATGTTGTGCTGAGGAGTAGCGTAAGCAGACGCCCGGAGTGTGCTGTGCAGGGGGTAGTTACGAACGGCTCGAGTCATGCTTTCCTAACATGACAAACAAGGAGCAGGAGTTGGGGAACCTTAATGGGCAGTCCAGGATCCTTATTTGTCAAGGTTGGATTGTTCTTATGGAATCCTTAGCTTGGGTGAGAAAAGCTGTACTCTCAAAGCCAAGGAGGGCATCAGCTCTCGGCTGTGTGCTTGGCGCAGCCTCTGCTCCATGGCCAAAGACCACACAAATACTTGTCTGTGAGCAGGTTTCCTTGTTGGGCTCCCATATGTGGCTCTAGGGAGACAGCACAGGCAAGCTGGAGGTGTGGAGCCCGGCTTGATACCCTGGGTGGTCTCTGTGAGGGCTGCTGAGGAGTTTGCCGACACAGGGACCTCTCACTATCCCCTGGACTCGTTGTGTGCCCTTGGACTTGGAGGGGATGCGGTCCACCAGGAGCACAGCAGTTTCCAGGCAAGGGGAAGGAAGTGCCCTGGGACTCCAGCGCTGAGCTCTGCTGCCCCCTACAGGCTGCTTTTGGGCCTGCAAGGATTGAGTGCCCAGAAAATTCAGAGGAGGTGGGAGGGGAGAGAAAGGAGAGGGGCTGGGGCTGGGGCCAGCTAAGATTAGGTAGTCCCTGCAACCCTCAGCAGGTTTTGGATTATGGGAAGACCGGGCTAGGAACAAGCAGAGTAGAGCTCCCAAGGGAGCGGAGAGAGGAAGGAGGCATTGTGCCTAGCTGTCACAGGCATTGGAATTTGGCTGTTCTGTGATTGCCTTTAGATCTGTTTGTGCTTGGTGAACCACCAGTAACTTATTTGTAATTCCTCAAAGAAGACATGGATTTCAGTGTAACTCTGCTCTCGAGGGAGGAGTAGCCTTGACGGGGAAGGGACCAGAGGAAGGTATTGTGGGAGGAGGCTTGTGAGCCCAGGGCCCAACCTCCTACAGCCCTCGTGCGCTGCTGCTGTCCTGCCTACTCTGTTTGCACGCTGCCCCATTCCCTTCCTTCTGCAGAGAAATGCCTTGATCTCAGAGGCCTTGTCAGGGTCTTTACAGCTCTGAGCTACTGCGCAGAGGCCCATGCCCGACACCCAGCGGAGCCTCCTTCCAACAGGCACGGCGACATGCTGAAACACAGGGCGGAGCTGGATGAGCTGGAGGAGGTCCTCAGGGCAGAGCGGGAGGCGCTGCAGCAGGAGCAGAGGACGAACGCAGTCACCATGGACGAGAATCAGAGGCTGCGGGCGGAGCTGGACAGGTGAGTGCCAGTGCTGCCGGCGATGGCCCCTGCGTTCTGTCCACCGGGCGGAGCCCGACGACTTCCCTGGTCACCGTGTAGCTGTACAAAACCTGGTTTGTTAACGGCTCCATCTGACTACTGAGTGGAAGGAGTTGCGTGGGCGTGGGTGTATCTCGTGTCTAAGTTTGATGGTTCTTAGCTCCCCCATGTGATGACGGCGGAGATTTCTGTCATTGACCCTAAGCCGACAGTGCCATCACGGAGTCCCACTGACCCTTCTTGCTCACAGATTGCATATTTGTGAACTTTCCTGCTTGCTGGGATATATTTGCAGCACTGCAGTGAGCACATGTAGGCTTTTGTGAACGAGTCCCCAGAATCCCTGTCCCCCGCTGAGGGCCTTCTTGCTCCAGCACTTCTGCTGCAAACAGGAGTCCTTTTCAGAACCTGATTGGTGCCATGTTTTTGGGTTTTGTGCTTTGGGCCAGATCTTGCTGTTTAAAGTGGCCTCAGTCTGGTGTCGCTGAGTGTGAAAGGCTGCGGTAGATGGCTCGCCCGGGTGGGAGCGAGAGTGCTGTTGGCAGCGACTAGGTTTCATAAGGGACCTTTACACAGAAACCTACGTGAAGCCAGCATCTGTTCCCAGAGGCTCTCATCTTGCCTCGGAGCAGTGAAGCAGTGGAGCAATGTTTATGAGTTCACCATTTGCCAGATCTGTAAGACGGACTAATGCCCACACGGAGAGTAGCCTGTACTGTTGTCCCCGCTCTTCAACAACAAGGAGGCAAACTTAGGGAGATAAGTAATGACTCTAGATAATGGCAGAGCTGGGGGTTGAATCCAGGTCCTGACGTCTCTACAGTTCTGCTTCCTCTGCACACTTGGGTTAGCTACTGGGGGTTACACACTCTGGCGCCTGCCTTGAGCAGGCAGGGAAAGTGCAGGGCGGGATAGCAGCAGCAGCAGCAGCAGCAGCAGGCCCCAGGCAGTGGGCTAGAGAGTCCACACCAGTGAGAAGGGCGAGTGTGAATGCGCGGCCACGGGCCATCCTCTGGGTCGCATTCTCAGAGACGCCGGACAGCTGGGTGTTGATATGAAATGCTCAAACTTTTAAATGTTGACAACTACTTTTAAAAAAGAAATGTATGGGTTGGTGAGATGGCTCAATGGTCTAAAGCACCTACTTAGAACAAGCTTAACAAAGCACAGCGACCACAGTTCAGTCCCCCAGCACCACATGCCAGCCAGCCCCGCCCCCTGGTGGGCTGAGCTGGTCACACACACAAAAAAATAAATAAATAAATAAAATTAAAAACAAAAAAAAAAAAAAAAAAAAAAAGAAAAAAGAAAAGAATTGTGCACACCAGGCAAGATACACACCTCCCAATTGAGTGTATGTACCTCCAGTCATTTGAGCTTTCTGGTTGACTCCTGAGACCCCCACCCTGGCTAATAATTAGGATGCTGGTGGGGGCCGGCCAAGTAGCTCAGCGGATTAAAGCACCTGCTTAGGCAGATGCAGTGACCGGGATTCGATCCCCTTGTGTGCTGGCCCTGCCCCCCGGGGTGTGCTGAGACAGAGATTGGGTGATTGAGACTGGGCATGCTGGTACACGCCTGTATTCCCAGTTCTTTAAGAGACTGAACACAGGTGGATCACTACAAGTCCTATTTATGTAGTGAGACCCTGTAGACCCTTACTACAAAAATAATGATGGTGCTGCTTATTTTAGTGGATTTACAGAATACCCTGCCATCTCGTCCTGTTTATCTTAGAAGTTGAAATTAGGTGTGTAGGACTGGGAAGACTGCTAGGCACAGACAGACTTGTTCTGGCTCAGTGGGGGTTGTTGTTGTGTCGTTGTGTCAAGCCTGTCTTCTCAATTTCCCTCGAGCCCCAGTGTAGTAGCAACAGAGGGTACCCTCATCGAACCCCAAAGAACACAGTTTAAAAACTAGTTATTTTGTTTAATCCTCTGATTTTTCACCGTAGACAGACCCGGGGCCCAGAGAAGCCGTGGCTTTGTCTGAGGCTGCGCACACTGGTTCTGTCAGCGCTGGGTCAGAGCAGCGCCTCTTTGGAGCATGGCTCACACCCTTGTCCCTTGGCTCTCTACTCCACAGGGTCAATTTCCTGCACCAGCAGCTGAAGGGGGAATGTGAAGAGCTGCATGCCCACACCAAGGAGCTGAAGACCTCGCTGAACACCTCGCAGCTGGAGCTGAACCGCTGGCAGGCGCGCTACGACGAGCTGAAGGAGCAGCACCAAACCATGGACATCTCGCTGACCAAGCTGGACAACCACTGCGAGGTGAGGGTTGGCTGGGCGGCTCCCGGGGCCCTCAAGAGCTGGGGGTGACGGTGAGGCCCCTCAGGAGTTTTGCTCCAGGAAGATGTGTGGGTGGCCCTGAGGCATGAGGTGCAGGGACGGGTGCCACTGAACACCCTGGCAGAGACAGTGTTTCTGCCTGTCCTTGCCGGTGTCCATGCTGTGTTTCCAGATCCCCTCATTTCAGTGGCCACGTGTTCTAGAGGAGTGGCCTGAATTTGCCCCAGTTTGGGGCTTGCTGACGGGCTCATGGGGCAGTAAGGCTGAGGCTCATGCAGGTTGCAGGCTTTCGGAGCTGTCCTTTCTGGTGTACTAGGTCGGAAATGTCCATTGTAGGCAGCGGAGCCCTCTCTGGGGAAGGGAACTTGGATGGACGAACATACACAGACAGGCCAGGAGGATGGGGGTCCCCATACCTCTCCTGGACAGCCCCAGGGACAGCATGTGATCTTAGGGCTCAGTTCGCTCGGCAGCCCTGACCCTGTGCTAGCGCTGGGAGACATCACAAGGAAGGAAACCAAAGCCTGGGACAGTGCTGTCACCTGGCAGGATGTGGCTGTGCAGCACATTTGAGGAGACTGTTGGACTGTGTAGAAAAGGATGCGCCTCAGCCAGAACTGGCAGGGTGTGGTGTGGGGAAATGTTTCTTGAGAGGGGCTGGTTTGAGAGCTCGGGGTGCGGATTGTGGGGGAACGTGTGTGGTTGGGTCACTGGGGCCCAAATCGTGAGAGGGGCCAGAGCGGGGCCAGCAGGTGGTGGGGAGGAGGTCAGCGAAACTCCAGGTCTGCATAGGCCGGGCCCCGTCAGGCTGCAGGTAGGAGCTGCTTGGGCCGTTGTACCAAAATGCTGCAACCTGGACAGCTTAGAAAACATGTTTATTTCTCACCGTTCTGGGGCTGGGAGTCCCCCAGACTCTCGCCCTGGCTGGCCAGTGGCCACCTTCCTATGTGTCCCCACCCCTCTGGTATTTCCATGGTCTCTTTCCTCAGGTCCAGAGAGACACATGTCCTGTCAGATTATCTGTCCCTGCCTTCAAGGCCATCCTGACTGCAGTCTCCTCTAAGGGTTCCACCTCCAAATACAGTCATACTCTTGAGTAACTGGGGCCCAGGGCATCTGTGTGTGGTTGGGGGATATGGCTCTGGCTTTCACAGAGTGAATGTGGAGAGGGCAGGGCAGGGCCCCCCCTTGTCCCCCACCTCTCCTGAGTCACCTGTATGTCTTTTTTTTTTAAAAAAAAAAATATTTATTTATTCATTTTGTGTGTGTGTGGCCAGCTCAGCCCACCAGGGGGCAGGGCTGGCTGGCATGTGGTGCTGGGGGATTGAACCGCAGTCCCTGTGCTTTGCTTAGCTTAGCTTGTTCTAAGTAGGTGCTTTAGACCACTGAGCCATCTCACCAGCCCCTCACCTGTATGTCTTAAGCCAGGTTGGTTTATTGCCAGGGCCTGATGAGGGAGGCAAGCGGCTATCCTGTCATCACCGGCCCTGCCTGACCCAGGATGGGAACTCACCCTTAGCAAAGGCCCCGTGGCACAGGGTACCCAGGACTGCAGCCAGGCCAGGTCTTCGCAGGGCCCATAGACCTCTAGGAAGGGTGATGTCTGCAGTGGCCCAGTGGCATTGCAGCAGTGCCCCGGACGTGTTCTCAGTGAGGCGGTAACCAGTGACAGCTTGCCCCTCCTTTCCCCTTCATCTCCTGCTGATCGTACACCTCAGTAAGCTGTAGTAATACTCCAGGCAGGTGGAACCTTGGCGTCTCTGTTCGTGGAAAGCAGATTTGTGATGGCCACAGGTGAAGAGACTGGGACAGCATCTGCTCTGCACCTGGGGGCACTGGGCCTTCTGCTGGGTGCTTGTCTGTGTCATCTCAGTTAATCCTCACAGTGACCTCAGGAGCAGGATCTCTTTCCATCCTGTCCTTTGGCATAGTGAATGTCCCAGTCTCTACATACAAAGCCTTGACTTAGCTAATACATACCACGGGAATATTCTAGAACAAAAGTTGGTAAAGTAGGCGAGATCCTGCCTACGCTGTTTTGGTACAGTCCACAAACTAAGACGGTAACTTTATTTTTTTTTTTGCGGAACCGGGGATTGAACTCAGGCCCTTGCGCTTGCCAGGCAAGCACTTATTCTACTGAGCCATCTCCCCGGCCCCTCTTAACTCTTTTAGTGGGGAGAAAAATTGAACTATAATACTTTCTGGTTGAGTAAAAATTACATGAAATTTAAATAGTAGCATCTGTAAGTGAAGTTTTATTAAATCAGAGCAAGCAAGGCTTGTGCATGCTTGTGTTGCTGATGGCTGCCTCTGTGCTACCACAGCAGAACTGAATGGCTTGAAAAACCTAGAATTGTCCCTTATAGCTTCTGGACAGAGAAAGTGCACCACCTCTTAAATCAGAGCTGCCCAGTTGGAACAGAATGCTCCTCCATGTGCAATTTACCATTTTCTTGTAGCCATGTTTAAAAAATCTTTATAAAGTGAAATTAAACTTTCCCATGCATTGGGGGTCTTGCCCCCTTGCCCAGCTGGCCTTGATGTCTGTCCTGCCTCAGCCTCCCATGTAGCTCCTCCCATGGACAGGCACCCCGCCCTCCAGGGTGCGGTTTCCTGTTCTGTCTTGGCTGTGTTGAGCCTTTAGCCCCTGCTGCAGGTCTCCAGTAGAGTGTGTGTCAGCTTGGAGCCACTGTGCTCTCAGTGCTTGGCGGCCTCCGTGTCAGGGGGTGCCGTGACAGAGGGCACTTGGGCAGGCTGTGGGCTCTTTGAGGCTTTCCTCATTTCCCGGGCTCGGCTTGCACTGAGACGACCAGCCGCTCACACTTGCCCGTTCCCTTCTTCATCGAGCGGCTGGGATGCTGGAGTCACTGGGGGCCGAGCCGCTGTGGGTCTGTGTTTCAGCTGCTCTCCCGCCTCAAGGGGAACTTGGAAGAGGAGAATCACCACCTGCTGAGCCAGATCCAGCTGCTGAGCCAGCAGAACCAGATGCTCCTGGAGCAGAACCTGGAGAACAAGGAGCAGTACCATGAGGAGCAGAAGCAGTACATGTAAGGCGCGGGGCAGGTCCTGGCTTCCCTCGCCCCACCTGTGACATTCAGGTCCACTCAGGTCCCCAGGGACAGACCACATCACCAGCCTAGATTTCCCTGGAATGCTCCAAGTTTCTGGAGTGGCAGGGGTCAGCTTTTGTGGGCTTTGCCCAAGACACCCAAAGCTTCCTTGGCTTCTGAAATTCACTTCTACAAGTGATATGAACACCGACAGATGCTGCGTCTCCTCGGGGAGACTTCAGTACTGCCGGTTGGCTGTGCCTCTCTTGCCTTCCCCTGGCCAGCAGTCAGAAGTAGGAACTTTGGTGCAGGCCGGCAGCCCAGGAGCAGGAAGGGTGATAGGTGTGAGCATTGTGTCCTCCAGCCAGGTGCCAGGGAGCTTCACGGGGCTCAGAGTGAGGGTACGGGGAGTCGGTGTCTGCTGCTCCCGAGATGAGGGGCGTGGGGTGGGGTGTGGTGTGGACCTGTGTGGCAGGTGGTCTGGGATCATTCAGTCTCTGAGAGACAAGGCCAAGAAAGGGTGATGCTGGGCTGTGAAGGACTTTCATGCCCATCCAGAAACCTGAAGTCCCTGCAAAGTGGTGTAAGTCTGGAGGCCTAGGAAGTTTCCAGAAGTGGAGGACAAGAGGAAGAGCCTTGGAGCCAGAAGCGAGTAATCCGAGCTATAACTTCAGAATCCAGGGTAGTGGCACTCCTGTCCCGCCCTGTGATGGACGAGGGGTGCTGGAGCGAGTGTGGTGAGGACAAGAGGAGACGCGCTCATGGAGAACGTGGTCACTGTGAACCCCACTGTGTGTGAACCCACACTGTAATTTGGGGGTAGAAATGACAGCTGCTCAAAGCTGGCCTCCATAATATGTGAGTTGGAGTTGCCAGCAGAGGAAGGGCAGGTGCTGACTCGAAGGTGCAGGAGCCTGGTCCCAAGGGGATTACTGGGTGACGCTTTTGAATTAGAGAGCGTCTGCGTCAGGCCAGCGGGCTGGCACCCTGCCTGGAGCTGCTCTGGGCCTGGCGCATGTATGGGGCCAAACCCAGCCTCCAAAGCACTGCGGAGGCCGGGGAGCCCAGCTGGGAAGACTGTGGCAGAATGCAGACACTAAGTAGAGGCCCGGGAGGAGCACAGCTGGTGACCAGGGGTATCTGCAGTCGCTTTGCCTGGCATACAGCCTCACAGTGTGGTGTCAGGACAGCCCTGGCTTAGCCAGAACTTTGATGGCTTCCAACATGAAGTAGCCCCAGCAGCAACCTCTGCTCTGAGCCTTATTCTCAAGAGAGCAACCCAGGGGTCTGAGCTCTCTGAATAATAATGAAGGAGGCTTCTAGAGTCAAACAGAAGCACTCCAGGCTCCCTAGGGAGCAGAAGTACCCTGTGACAGGCCAGGGCACAAAGGGTATCTGGTCCCTCGGCTTAAAAATCTGAACAGCTGTCTAACATTTAGCAATCAGGTCAGCCCCCCGAGTGGGCAGCGATCAGCCACGGCACCCGCTCCAGCTTCCCTAACCCGCTCTGCTCTGCGTTGGCAGCTGCCTACCGTGGACTGGGCCCAGGCCTGGGTTCCACCCTTGCTGGACAGCTGGGTCCTTGGTGCCTCTGGGTCACGGGGTTCCCTGGATTCATGGCAGCTGCTTCAGTTCAGGGTCTGGGTCTGAATCCCAAGAAAACACCGACGTCTACTTCATGTAGGCCTGATGAGCAAGTTTGTTGTATTTAAAACTTGATTGATTGATTGATTGATTGATTGATTGATTGATAGCTTTTGTTTCCATTTTTTTCAGAGACAAATTAAATGCCTTACGGAGACATAAGGAAAAACTGGAAGAGAAAATCATGGATCAGTACAAGTTCTATGATCCTGCTCCAAAGAAGTGAGTTAATCTAAGGTTTGAGGACCTAAAGATGCCAGGCACAGCTGCTTTTCCATGAGGCGAGGCAGCCACCCCCAGCGGCTGTACCACGTTGGCGGCCGCCTGTGTGCTTCTGCTTGTCCTGCGTGTGTGTAGGGGGAGTGTCAGCCAGCCTGGGGGAGACATAGCCTTCATTCAATCCTAAGGCCCTTTTAGAGGTAGAGTCTGTGGTCTCAGCTCACTGAAGCCAGGTGGCAGGGTGGCCCTCGTCAGAGGTGTGGCATGCTTTAGGAAGCCACGTCCCTGTGTAGGAAGCCTGGGGTGGAACAGCAGCTGCAAGTCTCAGAGGCGCAACCTCCAGGTGTCCTGCTTCCCTAGGCAGCGGCCCCAGGGGGTGCAGAGCTGATCCAGGGCCTCGGAGGCCCTCACCCAGGCTGGCCTGGCCTTGCAATTGAAATCACCTAGAAATGGTGATGCTTCTGCCTGACAAATTAGCTGAGGCAGGGATTTGGGTCACTCCAGTAACCGGGAAGTGAGAGGCAGGGTGGGTCCCGGAGGTCTGTGCTGCCTGCAGCTCTGTCACTGTTGAGGCACCTGTGACCCCGCTCCAGCAGCCCGCTCCCCTCTGCCTGTGCCCCTGGCCACAGTACTCAGTGCCAAGGAAGGGTCAGGGAAGGCCAGCCTGCTTCATGTCCTGACTTCAGCAGAAGGGGTTTCAGAAGATGGACTTTGGACAGAAGAATCACTATCAGCACGGCCACACTTACCACATAGATAACAAGAGTTGAGGTCAGGGATGTAGTCCAGCAGCAGAGCTCCTTGCCTGGCAAACATGAGGTCCCGAGTTGAATTCCTGTGCCACCCCACCCTCCAAAAAAGAGTTGACTGTTTATGTGAAGTTTATGGTCTGCCCCCAGCCCCAGGAGTGGGGACTGAACCCCTGTCTTCACACTAAGCTATATCCCCACCCTTCTAATGGGATTTTTTTTTTTTTGGGGGGGGGCAGAAATGGGTATTGAACTCAGACTCTTGCGCTTGCCAGGGAAGTGCATATTCCACTGAGCCATCTCCCCAGCCCCCTAATGTATTTATGTTTAAAAATTTGAAACTGTCTCACTAGCTTACCCAGGTGTGAGTTGAACTTGTGATCCTCTACCTTGAGCTCCTGGAGTGCTAGGATTACAGTCCTTGGCCCCGATTCCTGCCTTGAAGTTCTATTTTAGGGACACTATTTGGAATTTCTTCCACCATCACCTAACCTACACTGAAGGATTTGGTTCTCCCCTGAGTCCCACACGAATGCGGGGCAATGTTGATGAATGTAGCCATCGTTTTTTATTTTTAACATACTGGGGACCAAGCACAAGGACCTCACACAAACTAGACACATGCTTCATCTCTGAGCCACGCCCCAGCTCGGCAGCACCATCCTGAATCCCAAGTTCGTGGCCAAATTCACAAGCTGATGATAGGAATCTCTCGTGCACTTCAGGGAATCCAGGGGTGTAGGAGTGTTGATTGTACCTTCTAACAATCTCCTCCTAACCAGGAAGAACCACTGGATTGGAGCCAAAGCCTTAGTGAAATTCATCAAACCAAAGAAAGAGGGTTCCAGAGAACGATTGAAGTCATCCGCGGACAGCCCTCCCTGGCAGTGTGAGTCCTCAGACCCTGCCTCGCCAGCAGCCCCTCAGCCGCTCAGATTGCAGCCCGAGAACACCAGCAACTCTCCACTGGCCTCAAATGGTGCCGAAGAGCGAGATGTTCACAACGGGCCTTTGGGGAAAGGTAAGCATGGCCCACCTGGTGGCTGTGGTTGGGCTCAGGAAGAGTATGCCCGTGTGTGACCACTGGGGAGTGTGCCTTGTACCAGGGCATGTAGTGATCCAGGTAGAGACTAGAACTCTGTGTTCCTGTTAGGGCAGTACTGTCCCATAGCACGCTTTTGTTACCGTAAAACAAGAAGCAAGGGTTATTATGTAGACTGGTAAGTGTCTGATACCCAGGGTTATATTTAAACAGTCCCCATAGAGACAAGTAAAGCAGTGTGTGTGTTTTGGGGGCCCGTGGGGTGTGTCAGTGGCTTGCACTACTAAGCAGGTTTCTGTAGGGTGATCCCAGGAGCATTTAATATGCTCCTCATGTCCAGGAGCTTCTGCCGGTGGTTCTCGTCTGTCTGAAAGGCAGGGTAGGGTTTCTTCTCCAGCTGTCCCTGTCCTTGAGCCGTGGCAGCTGTGGGACGCGGTGTCTGTCATCCTTCAGAATTGTCATTTGGAGTGCGCCAGGGGCTCGGAAACAAGAGCGGGATTCCTAGTTCTGTGTCCCATATGCTGTCAGTGCTCAGAGGAAAGTAGCAATCCATAGTGCAGCACTTGGCCGCTAAGGAGACTCATTGGGTTCCTGTATAGTAAAGGAGCTCTTCTAAAAGACAGACAGGTGTGACAGTCGCACATGACGGGGAAATTGAGCAAGATACATTGCTTATGGCAGGGACAGTGCCATCAGGTACTTCCTAGCCTGTGGTGACTCAAGGAAGACACTGTAAGGAAGCTGTGCCTTGATTTCAGACCTCTTAGGTATGGAAAACCCAGGCCTTCGACTCCAGGCAACACACGTTCCCATCAACGCTGAAGATTGCAAGTTGGCTTTTAAATGGCTTGGACTCTGAGTGGTTTAAGTCTTTGCAGAAGACACTGGGACTTTCTAGAGGTCATGCTGGGGAATCTGGTGCCCTGGGACTGGTGGTTAAGCCCTGAGAACCCGAGATAAGTGCCTGAGTCAGCAGATGCACCAGCCTTTAAGGGTGGCATCCACAAGTGCCCGTGTGACATGCACGCACACGGTCGGGGGTCGGATGCTCTGTTGTCTGTTCCGGGGGTGAGGGTGGTAAACAACTCTGTAAGTCAGTGACACTGGGGAGCCTGCTGTCCTCATGCCTGTGCTGGCTGTCCCTTGAGGGCTTTTCATCATGCTTTTTTTTTGACACAGGGTCTCACTGTGCAGTTTAGGCTGGCCTTGAACTCACTTTGTAGCCCAAGCTAGACTTTAACTTGCAGTGGTCCTCCTGTTTCAGGGTCCCTAATGCTGGGATTACAGGTCTGTGCCACCACCCCTGGCTATGGCTTGATTTTTGACATTTATCATCTCAACTGTATTATTCCTTACATTTAATTAACTACCTGTAGTTGGTCTAATTAAGTAGGAAGTTTTTCAGACAAATGTCTGCATAGTGCAAACAGTCGAACCAGTCCGTGAATGAGCATTCAGTAATAGCCATCAGGAACCGCTGTGTGGCTGGAGCGCATCTCGGGGCTCAGTCCCCTAACAGCTCTGGTGGTGTCCGTATCATTTATTCCTAACTGCCCTATCAGGTAGGCACCATTACCCTCCCCCCGCACCCACTTTTTTGTGTGTATGTAGTACTGGGGATTAACTCGGGGCCTTCATACTAAACTGCTTTCTCAGCCCTTTTTCAGGGTTTTACTTTTTTTTTTTTTTTTTAATGTATTTGGTTGTTGCAGGGTCTCAGTATGTAGCTTGGCCTAGTGGTGATCCTCCTGCTTTCAGCCTCCCCAGTGCTGGGATTATAGGCGTGTACTGCCATGCCCTGACTCTGGCCTGCTTAGCCTGCCCTAAGGGTAGAGCTGGGGTGGCATCTGGTGCCAGACATTGAACCGCGGTTCCTACCTAATCTTGCCTAAGCAAGCGCTTTAGTGTGCTGAGCTATCTCACAAGCCTAGTTTTTTACTTTTTTTTTAATGTATTTTAGTACAGGGTCCACAGGGTCTCACTACACTGGAGATCTGCCTGTTTTCACCCTCCCAAATGATGGGATTTCGGGCATACGCCACCGTGCCCAGTCTCCTCTCAGCACGCCCTGGGGGCAGAGCCAGCACAGCAGGCCAGGGATGGAACCCCTGCCACTGCACTCTGCCTAAACAGGCACTTTAGTCCGAAGAGCTATCTGGCGGGCGCTTACATTTTTAGACAGGACCACCAAGTGGCTGAATCGCCCAGGCTGGGCTGGAACTTGTGATCGTCCTGCCTCCCCCACCCAGAGGGCTGAGATTGTAAACACACCACCAGGCCATTTTTAAAGCCAAGAAAGTTAGCTTCAGCTAGGTTAAACATTTTCTGCGTAGTAAGAGGGATCTGAACACGGGGGAGCTGAGTTTGTGTTGCCTGCAGTTCAAGCCTCTTTGGTCCCCAAATACTAAACAAGTGTACCCTGGGGCTCCTGCCTACAGCCTCTCCCTGAGCTGGGGAGAAAGGTCACCAGTATACCTCCATGGCATAACTTGTCCCTTCTTCTGTGCTGTGGGTCAAAGCCACCAGGTGGTGCTATGGAGAAAGAAATAGAGATCCTGAAATCCTTACGAGCCAGTAAAGCCTGAAGCAGTATCAAAAATTCACTGCCACTCTGAGCAACTCAGCAAGACACTGTCTCAAAATAAAAATTAAACAATAAAGCTGTCTCCTTGGGTTCATTTTCCCATAACCACCGACACCATCTCCCCCCC